TGTTCAGCGAGGATTTTGGAACCCACCTAGTTCGGCTCAAACAAGTCTTGACGTGCCTGCGGGACGCCGGATTCAAGTTGAAAATGTCCAAATGTCACTGGGGCAAGTCGTCCGTAGCGTTCTTGGGTCACGTCGTCACTCCTGGCGGGATCCTACCTAATCCCGAAAAAGTGAAGTCCGTGCTGAAGATCAAACCGTTGCGGAACGTGGGGGAAGTACGCGCGTTCCTCGGCCTGGCTGGGTACTTCCGACGGTTCATCAAGGGGTACGCGGCGATCTAGCGACCGTTGGAGCGACTCAAGACAGCCGAATTGTTTCAGTGGGACGGCGACTGTGATGTGGCGCTGGACAAGTTGAAGCGCGCGTTGGCAAGTCCGCCGATTCTAGCCTATCCAGATTTCGGACTTCCGTTCATCGTGTATGTGGACGCGTACCCCATCGCCGTGGGTGCGGTCTTGATGCAGAAGCAAAGTGGCCGAGAATGTGTGATAGCCTATGCCAGTCAAGCACTCAACCAGACCCAGCAATGTTGGATCAACAAGAAAGACGGCACGTCGGAAATCGAGTGTTTTGGCATCGTCTGGGCGACAAGCAAGTTCCGCGCCTACCTCGACCGGCGCCACTTCACGCTATACACGGACCACGCGGCACTTACTTGGCTGTTCAAGTCCGGGTCACACTCCGCGAACGCGAAGCTGGCGCGCTGGGTCTCTCACCTGCAGAGCTTTCAATTCACGGTGACGCACCGACCTGGCGTGAATATGGGTTGCGCCAACGGACTGTCTCGGCTACCTATCTCGGCAATTGTCGCTGGCCATGCGGATGGGAGCAGTCAGGGGCTCAGATCTATGGACGCGTGGGGTGACGGACTCGGTACGGGTCCCATGGCTGCAGCGGTCACGCGGAGTATGGGTCGCTCAGCGGCGGAAACCAAGGATGATACGGCGGGCGAGGGACGAGACCCTGTAGTGTCGTCGGAGGGCGACGGCAGCCATCTAAGTCCGGAAGTCGTCGAGGTGTCGATACCCGCGCCCGACGGCCCGTTAAATGACAATTACAGCGTACTCCCTGACGGAGCAGGCCAAAGACACCTTTGTACTGGCCACGAAGGCGTACCTTCTGGAAAGCGCCGTTCCTCTGGACCTTGACACGCTGGGGTACCTTATACGCATGAAAGACCACTTTGAGGTGCAAGGAAGCATTCTATATCGGCGGACCATCATCAAGTTGCCGTTGCGCAATGCTGTCACCACGTTAGTCCCGATAATCCCGCTATCCCTTGTCCGCTCCGTACTGGAACTCTGCCATGATTCGGCATTGTCTGGGCATTTTGGGGTGGTACGAGCCACCGAACGGGTCAGACGGCTGGGTACTGGAAGGGGTGGTGTGAAGACGTGGCTGGGTATTGTCGACTGTGTGTCCGTTGTGGTGCCGCAAAGGGATCGAGGCCGTGGAGAAACGGAAAACTCCAACGAATGCCGGTGTACCGGTTGAAGGGGCCGTTCAGTATGGTAGTCGTGGATGCGTTGGGTCCGGTCCCTCCTACTCCGAACGGGAACAAGTTCGTCTTGATCTTTGTCGATTACTTCACGCGATGGCCCGAGGCGTTCGCGGTGCCGGATCTGAAGTCCTCGACGTTTGTGCGAGTGTTCGTGGACGAGGTCTTATGCAGATACGGTGTGCCGGATCGGTTGCTGTCGGATCGAGGAACCAACTTCGTGTCTCACCTGGCCCAATCGATATACCAGACGTTGGGGATCGAGAAGATGGCTAGCGCGCCTGGACATCCGCAAGGGCAAGGGTTAGTGGAACGATACAACCACACGTTGGTAACCATGCTGAAGATGTACGTCAACTCTGTCCATACCGACTGGGACGTGTACCTGCCGC